CTTACAAAAGAATTTAAAACAAACAGAAGGAAAATTTAAAACTTACTTTATTGCACGAGTCTCAAGGAATATTTGCGCAAAAGTTCGCGAAGAAAACGGAGCAAAAATGATTCGCGGTTAGAAAATGACGAGAGTTTTATGTCGCGTCTTCGAGCGCGCCGGAGGGTGTGAAATCTCACCGAGATTTATCTTCGACTCTACAATTTGCTCGTTTCGAGTCCAACCAAGAAACGAACTACATCACGAGCGATGTCTTTTTATCCGCTTTATCACGTGCTTGTTTCCGTCTCGTACCGTAAATCTTGAAAAGGAAATACATACATCGGTCTTCGAAGTTCGCGTTATAACTGCGAGAAACCAGCGCTAGAATCCTCTCCTCGGAGATCTATGGATGATAACAATTCTTCTCGAAGGACAGAGCTGCATTTTATCGAATTTTCACTTTTTCCTTTCCTCCTTTTTGCTTGGCAATCTTCTCTGCTCTACGGAGTAATAAATAAATATGTTAAAGAGAACTTGGTTTGACATGTGACACTAGTTACACACATATTTGTCCATGCGATGTGGCTAATTTTTCTTAAATATTCTTCTTATTCTTGACTGATTTATTAATTTTCTAATTGGGAAATTGCCATAGCCAATGCTCCACTTTTTGGACACGTGATTTAATTACGTCTCTGATGAACGATATTTCAAGATTCTTCTAATTAGAAATAATGGTTGGAAAGTTTATTTTCGTGATAGATGGCTTGAAATATCCCCATAGTTCGACTATTCCGCATAGATTAATTTTAATATTGCTTTGTATGTAATTAATTTGCATTCTCTAGCAACAACTGACATCTCCTTTCAGCCAGTAACATCTGTCTAATCTTCACTGTTAATTGTTGTTTTCCTTGTTTTTATGTCGGATCGTATAACGCACATGCAGCGTAAGCCTCGCGTATCACGAAATTCAGAGTAAATTATGCAATCGCGTTTCCTCGCTGTGATTGTCGTCATTTCCAGAGGAGATCGTTCATCTTGTTAACCGCCTCCGCGAGCTACCGTGGTATCACGGATATATCCACTCGTAGAATTGCGAAGAGGGAAAGATGGCGGAGAGGGAGGAGGGAGAGAAGCGAACTCATCGTTAACTCTAACGGTCCCTCTGGATCTTGGTAGTTTCGTCTATGATCTTACGGCCACGATCTTCGCTCTCTTCCGTGGATTCAGCGACGTTCTCTACTCCTCTTCCGCTTTCCGCAATTTTCGAACTGCGTTTTCTCATAATTACCTTCATAGTGCACTCCGAAAAAATATTTGCTTTTACATGATAAAGCTTTTATCATCAACTTTATCGTGCGAGATAACGATATAAAATTGCTTGACAGCAAGTTACACGCAACTGAATAGAAATTTAGTCTATTTGCTATTGGTAAAACAAATTTAGCTATTTATTTTGGTATGGGCACTGTGCCCATTTGACACCAAGGGACAAATCAAGTTGGAAAAACGAACGAATGATTTTAATAAAAACTCATTGATGTACAATCCAAATATATAAGATTCGTAGGAAAATTTGAGATTTAATCTATTAGAATAAAATCGTTGTCCGAGCAGATTGGATATTGGTCTTTTAAAAATAAGCAACCCTCTGCGAACTTTTCCCATGATTTTCATAACTTTGAAACTGGCGAACAGCTTCAGTTTATTTTGTAACGTTTCCATTTTAAAAAGATGAAACTCACATTTATACTGAAATTGCAACTAATTGCTGACGAGCAAGAAAAAAAAAACTTTCTCCATTTCTAGATAATTCGGGGCAACTCCGCCGTCTTTTTAAGAAAAAAATTCTGTCTTCACTTCGCACGTTCTCATTTCAATCGCGAACAATTTCTTTCGAAACGAAATTACAACGATAATCATACGTTTGAACGATGTGATGTAAGGTGTTATTTAATAGATAATGCGCAATGTAAAAAATTCAACTCGAAATCGGATTTAATTATACGTTATCTCTGGTAGGATATAAATTTCGCTTTATCTCTACTATCGAGTTTTCTCGAGTTCGTTCGAGAGTTTCTCTCTCTCTCTCTCTCTCTCTCTCTCTCTCTCTGTCTTACATTTTATTATTTTTCCTCCCGCAACGGGTTCCCCGATGTTTTACACGGCACGTAATCAGAGTCGTGACTACCGTTCTTTCGCACGATGGAGCCACACGGGGGATTTCGTTCGAGGCTGTTATGAATGGAGGGGAGCTTAACTCCCCGATCAACTATCAACCAAGATCATAGGTTAGTTGGGGTCGGTACTCGTTTAACGCTTTTACCTTTGCCTAGATTTGCTAACGGATACCCAACACATCGGCTTAAATGGGAAAACCGTTCTCGAATGTATTCCCTTCTGGGCATTTTCTATTTACTACAGAGAGAGAGAAAAGAAAGCGAAAGAAAATGACTGCTTTCATCCTCCTACGACTCCTTTTCACCCCGTCACCTTTCTATTAAATTTTCGTGAATACACCGCAAACACTAGGGGACACTAACAAAGTGACGAATTCAACGTTTTAATTTGTATTTTCGCGGATCGGATTAGAGTGTTTCGTTCATTTCATCCCTTTTTCATTAAATCTCGATATACTGTACTCAACGAGAAGGGAAATTAATTTTATATTAATTTAACGATGTTTCGATACTAACGTCGTTTATAGTAAGTTTTTGTTGGATCATGATGATGAGAACTGAGAAGATGAGAAAACAGTGACGATTTTTCTGTGAAATATCGTATTATGGTCCTTAAATCGTGTGATTCTTTTTGAGTCGTTTAATATCGTAAAATAAAAATAAATATAAAATATACGTGTATATGTATGCCATTAAATTATTCGTGTGTCAGTATTTTAAGAAAGTTATTTTCTGTAGATACTATTTAAACAATTTTCTCTTGTTTAAATAGTTCAAAGAAGCAGAATGAAAAAGTTGCAATAATTTATTCCAAAAGTTTCCTAAAAAAAAAAAAATCCTAAAAGTGATAGCTTTTACGCGTATACGTAAGTCTGAATTAACGAGGCTAATTAACTATTAGAAATTTGCATTGAATCGTGTGAAAATTACCTTAATTAAGCATCTATACGATGCTTCGAAGAAACAAGAGCGTGCTAATAAATTATCCGTCTCGAGATTACAATAGATTTTCAATCCGTTTCCATTTGAATTAAGTAACAATATAATCGTATCTAGATTCTATGCCTCGGTAACATCTGGAGGCAATAGAACCTCTTTTGTGATACCGTTCTATGGCGCTGTACGACTATACCGGTTACCATAATGTTCGCCGACACTCCTTCAACCTGGAGAAAGATTTGCTGCTGTGTTTATATCGTGGGAATGGAAGAATTGACTCCACGTAGTTAACCACGAATTAGCCACGTCCCATTTTCTACTTATATTCCAATTCATTGATAATTTATTACGGTAGATATACCCAGAGACAACCAGCGAAACAGAAACTGGATGTTAATTTAAACGACACGACGAGTGTTCCTCATATTCGTTGATTTCGTTCGAATCTCGAATTTTTCCAATAATTTATCGTATAAAAATTCACGAGACAATGATTCAAAATGAGATGTACAACAAGTATTTTCTTCTCGTTCGAATCCTACTATTTTCCTCAATCAGTCACGTTTTACTTTTCCACATATTTTATTTTATTTCTTATAGCATAACAATTTATCGTTCGTCATATAAAAGTCTGCGAGACGATGAGAGTTGAGAAAGAGGTTTTAATGTACCAGCTTGTGACATGTGAGTCATGTCCCTCACGTTCGTTGAATCAGAGGCCCAAGGAACGCGAAAAAATGCACGCGTTTGGCATTCGTCCGTTGGTAAACGATTGACAATTCTGTCACGTCCGACCGGATCCTAGTCGGATCCCTCTTTTCCTCTGAAAACGTATTATAAATGTTTTGGCGATCTTTCGTATTCCTGTCGCTCGACTTAAATAACTTCTATTACAAAATACACGAGCATCGAAATTTGTACAATCGGAATTCAATGGGGATATCGTTCTGGGTCAAGAGATCGTGGACATTGACGTTCGCGATACTATTACTTGGCTTTGAAAAATTGTTTGACGTTTTATACGGCGAAGTAGGTTATGCTATTACTCGAGATGGAGGGAAAGAGAGAGAGAGAGAGAGAGAGAGAGAGAGAAAGAATAAAGAAAAAAAATCAACGGAGCGAATGGTGACTGCAGGTCTGGTGGTGCAATCTCGTTGAGGCAAAAATTCCGTGGCCTGTCTGCGTTCCCTTCCTTGGCACGAAGTTTAAATGTTAGCCACAATGGCGTGTCATGTCAGCTGAATCGTGTCGAAACAGACCGGGCGAGAGGTTCGACCGACGGACCTTCTACTCGAGTTAAATCGATGCTGTACGGCTTGGATTAACTATATTCTTTGAACTAAAAACTATACAAAGCGAGCTGTATAAATTACTGTTGCTCGACGAAAATTGGTTAGATGTCATTAACCCTTTCGACCCATATATATGTACGTACACGAATACATGTCTGTTCGAAAATTTGAAGCTTGTCAGGATTTCCCCTCGAGCAAATAAATAATTTAGGTAATTACAGTACGATTTTTTTTGTTAATTGTAGCACAAGATCGGAATTATAATTAGAATCTTTTATGAAGAAGCAATTCGAAACGAAACACGTATATATATAAAAACAGTACTGGGATAGTTGTTCCTATTATCAGTAAATATTGGATGATTTCTATATTTTTGTAATACAAGTTTCGAAAATTCTTATCAACAAGAATTCTAACTTTAGAATTTTGAATTTGAATTACAAAACATACGAAATCAAAGCCAATAATATCGGAACGGCGTGCGAATATTTCTGCGGCAGATTGTGCGTCCCAATTTTAAAAATTGGCACGCAAGCTTCAACTTTGTATACCTCCCGGTGATTGATACCGTGTAATTTAAAAACAGGAAGAGAGACTAAAAATAGAAAGAAACGAAAAGAGTGAAATCATCAGATAGACAGAAGGATTAAGCTCGAGGGCTCGAAAGGATCAAACCCCGCCTCTCTGTTACGTGACTGACCACTTGCGTGTTTATGCTTGCTGTTTCTCCGGCTCCAGATCGCGAATTTTATCGTAGTTCTTCAGAGTCTCGTACAGGATAATATAATTGTCGCGAAGTTGAACCAACCGATGCCACAAGTTGGCATGAATCACGTCGTTGGACTTTGACTCCGTCTCCGCTGTTACCTAATGAAACAGAGAAAAAGAAAGAAAGAATGTGTGAGAGAGTGGGAGAGAGAGAGAGAGAGAGAGAGTTTCATTAACGAGATCGAAACGGGCAATTGAAAATCGTTGTTACGATTCGCGATTGATTCGAAAGGGAAATTAACGTTACATTGTGGAGGTAGGAAAGCCACAGAGAGAGAGAGGGAAAGAGAGAGAGAGAGAGAGAGAGAGAGAGAGTCACAATTAGCTTTAAGGATTACTTTGTCGGTGGTCCGTCGTGCGCGATTCACTTGAAGGTACTTGAGATGAAAGAACAGCTCGTAAGCCCAGCAGTCGATGGTTTCAGTGTTGCGAGTCGCGTTCGTTAATTCGATCGGAGGCGATTCGCTGGTTAAAGCGACTGCCTGCAGCCATCGTTTCAACTGAAGTATTATTCGCGTTTATTCAGCTTGATTTTATCGGGGAGAGCGAAAGAAAGGAAACCGTGTAATTGGAAGCTGCGAGGGATTTAAGAATCCTTACGGTGGTGGTGTCGGTAATGAGTTTCACTACCGCCGGTCTCATGATGTCGATCAGCTTGCCAATAATCGTCGTGTCCTTCTTAACCGCAGTCACGTACGTCGAAAGAGAGCTGCTCCAATTTGGCGAAGGTCCGCACTGTGCGTTCTTTAATTCTCGCCTTTTTTAAAAAAAAAAAAAAAAAAAAAAGAAGAATATCGTACTTTGATTTGTTCTCATTATTTTATTTGAAACGATGAAACTAATAATAATATTAGTACCAGTATGTGTTAATACTATGCATTGATATTAATATTGATATTGTACTAACATTAATATTAATGATAGAATTTGTTTTTTTATATTGAATGTTGCAATGGCATTTGGACTATTTTTCTCGTTATATAAATGTAACTAAAAGAGATTTGTAATTAAGTAGATACTTCATTTGTATCTACCTTTGGAAGAATGCTGGAATTATGTTGTCCACGATGTACTGTGACGGAGTAATGACGATTTTCTTGGTACATGTTGCCAGGCTGCTCACTATAAATGCTAAAATTTGTCCCAGAGGACCTGGTCTTCGACGCACGTTGCCACCAGTTATACCTCGCGATCGATAGTATTTTCTTTTACAAATTCCGTGTCGCGATCGGCTGCGATCGCACATCGAAAGAGAATAGTAACTGGAAACTGGGGAAATCGGCACAAAAGTTTGTTACACTCATACGGGCGATTTACATTTAGTTTTTGAAACGATTATCATAGGTGAATTTTCGTCGTACGTCTAATGATTGCAATAAAGTAATTGTAAGAGTACAAGTGTGGTATGATATCAATAAAAATTGTTAGTCAAATATTGTCTACTGACTCAAAAATCACAGTTTTGAGTTTTTTATTTAATTGAAGGCGAATTCGAGTTTAATATTGAATATTAAAGAGATCGTCTATTCCAATGTTATATTTATAGGGATATTGCCAATTATAATATCCTGCGGGATAAATTATCGAATAATTATGGTTAATATTCTTTGGTTTTAATTTATGGTGTATTATCGTGGATTCATTGCGATGAATTTGTGTACATGTTGACAAATTACGAATAACAATGTAGACTTATTTATCATATTTCATTGCAAGAATTTTTATTATCGATTGATCGATGTAAATTAAAATTTGTTCCAATTATCTATTTCTCTCTACTAATATTTGTCACATTCAATCTCGCTTATTCAACTTCATTAAAAACGATTCTCCACGACGAATTTTCACCCGCGATAGCCGTCCAAGAGTCAACAGTTACCGCCAAAGTCCGAAATGCTGTTTAGGTCGCAGTTCTTCACGCTGGAAAGTGTCGATTGACACTTGACTTTCCGATCGATTGGAGGTGGATCGTTGAATTTACTGTTCTTAACAGATTCCGGCATGTACTCGTTGACGAACTCGTTCAATTCGATGATCTTGTTCGGAAACGTTTCTAGACAATTAAAAGCCTACACGGAAACGCGTTGAATGATACGGAGAGGTTAAGCAGAGAATGGGAAAATTATGTTTCGTACTTCTTGATGAAGACGCTCGAGGCACGAGGCCTCGTCATTCGTCTCCGTAGTCATCGCGATGTTGGCTAATAATCGGATGTCTCACGTAAATTTGGATCAACGTTCATCTTGGTGTCCCCGTGGGGTGAAAACCAGCGAGCACGATTATCCGGTAACCTGCAAGGAATTGTAAAAATTTTCGACAACGAACGATCGCGATTACGTCCATCGTGGTTACAAGTAGTATGAATGTGTCGCCAATATGAATCGACACGAGCTCGTTAATTTTCCTTTGTATTTTTATCTGACCGTGGTATTATGACAAACTTGCAAGACACTCGGCCTTATTTCGCTGTGAAATTACGGAGAAATTACGGAACGAACATTCTATTTTTAAAATTTGGAATTTTATTTTTAAAATGAAGGAAAAGTGCTTTGTCTTCGCAATTTTTTCAGATACAGTAAGTGTGCGTTTTCAATCATTTTATCGGAAATGAATATTAATAAATATTAATACGTATGCAAAAATGTATAAAACAAATAGTTTTAAACGGTGCTTTTCTAAGAGTGTCTATGTACCATAAATCCACAAATCGTGAAACTTTTTCGATATATAGTATATCTTACTCAAAAAGTATTCGAACGCTTCGTTGTATCTACTATCCAGTATTAAATAATAACGTGACAAGTTCGTGTTGTTGCTATTAATAATATTTTTGCAAAACTTGCAATCACTCTCCAATCCTTTAGAAATACATTTGCGTCTCACGCGAAGTATCTCCCTCGTCGGATTACTTTATTAAAGATATTAATATCTGTTAAAACGTCTGCGTTTATCTGTTCGTTTCACGAATGCGAGATTGATGTCTCCGAGTAATACAGGTAGTTAAATAATTGAGAAACGTCAATGCCAAGTGTCCATCGTGGCGATTCAAGCCCTCGCATGCAAATAAGTTAATACCGCGTATTTTTACGCACGTTGGAAATTCTTGAATCCTGACGGACTCACACACCAGGTATCAAGGCAAACGGTCGACATTATTACGACCGCGAGTCGTGCTTTCTGCGAAACAGAGGCCCAAGATAAATAGTGTAGCGAGCGATTCGCTCAGCGCGGTGTACAGGACGTATTCAAAAGCGGACGGTTAATGAGAATGCAATGGGGCGCCTTAACTCCGCCTAACATCGCCCAGCTGGAAACGGATGTGCTCCGCCGATTTTTCCTAATTAAGATGTGGCCGGTGCAACTCCATTACGTAAAGCAACCATCTTGATTTACCGTTCGACTGGGGAACGGCGATCCCGCAACAAAACCTTTATGGTCACGAGAGAATTGGAAGAACTCGAAAAGGGAGACGAAACGAAGGGCCGCGGCTCTTGTTCTACGCTTCTTCTTTTTCTTCTTCTTCTTCTTCTTCTTCTTCGTTATCTTTCTCTCTTTCTCTCTTCTCTCTTCTTCTGCTTCGCTTCTCTTCGGCTCCTCGCCGTCGTCGTCGTCGTCGTCGTCCTCCTCGTCTTCCTCCTTCTCCTCTCCCTCGCCTCGCGTTTCTTTTTCTTTGCGTTCGTGTCCGTAAGTTTTGCAGAGGTGGCGAGGTGAGATCTCCGGGAAGATCTGCCTACGATGCACGACCACTATTACCGACGCCGGCAAGGGTTGCCTGGAATGTGATGCAAATTTTATACGAATCAGTTACACCACGACCCGTCGAATACCTCGACGAATCTGAACGTTTGATAGGCTCGGCAAGATCGTTGAATGCCAAGTGGCGATCTTCGGTGGAGAAGCGTGCGCACTTTTGCCTCCCTATCTCTCTACGTTTCTCAAATCTCTCTGGGTCTAGAGAAATGCTACTGTCAAAGAAATGGCCAACTCCTACAACATCAATTGCCGCGCGTGCAGGTCTCTAGGAGAAGCCACGTTAATTTCTGAAATCTCGAACGCGAACGCGTTGAACCATGAGTTCAAGATTTTGATCGAGGTGACGCATTGAGACGATATTTATGCAAGTTTTTGTGAAATCTATCTGTTAAATATTGTAATCTGTACCACGTTTCGCGTTACGTGTGTCTCGTTCATTTTCGCAGCTTCCAATTTTTCGTAAATGGTTTTCGTATTAAAGACGAGTAGTCTGATGAATAATAATATCTGTTGAAAGAATAAAATCGTGAAATTTCCAATAATCTTCTATGCACATAATCTTACACATAACAGGATCGTTCCAACCAACGAAATTCTTTCTGCGTGGAAAGTGTCGATACGCAAAATTTGATCATCTTGCGCATAGTTTAAAGTTGAAGCTGTTATTCTGAAAAACCGTGTCTAGCCTGTTGACCAAGAGAAGAATATTTACTTTCGTCCATCGAAAAACCTTTGGTGGTCAAACGTTCTTTTTGCAAATTGTACAAGAGGACGGATGATAATGCAATAAGAAGGTTGTGCTATCTGGAGTGTAAAGACTGATACGAATGTCGGCGGCTGACAGCGCGACCAAAGACGGCCTCGAACAGAATGAGAAGTGGAGGGAAGAAAAAGAAAAACAAGGAGAACAACCAGAAGAAGAAGAAGAAGAAGAAGAAGAAGAAGTCAGGAGGTATCACGGCCGAAGACATTTCTATGCGCGCCCACTGTCAGCGAAGATAACTTACGACTTGGTGGAATGGTAATGACCGTGGTAGACATTCCGTCCTGTTGCAGATTTAATAGACTCGTCCTGATAGAGGGCTACGAAACATGTCACCGCTCGTGACCAACCGAGTTGAGCCAATGATTTACCGATGGACACGTCTTGTCAACACCATCGCGATTTTGAGCCGTAGACGAGCTGCAGAATCTTACGATTCGACTGCGGACTTTCTTACGCAAATTCGTATCTCTGTAAAGAGATTTGTAATTAAAAAGATAGAATCTTGGTAGAAAGTAAAAGGTTTATTGGTGCCAAATATTATCATAGAAAACGCTGAAAGCACAGTTGGATTTACTAACATGATGTTGATGAAAAATGAAAAGATTTCCTTTTGTCATGTCTCTGTACAAGTGTTAGTATGCAGACGTATGGAAATGGTCATTCATAAATGTTAATTGATTATTTTCAACAGTGAAGAAGTCATACATTACGTATCGTATATAGATGTTGTATGAATTAATTTACTGCGTTAATAACAGTAGATGTTGAAATATAATACAGTAAATTACAAATATAAATATAATATAGCGCGAAGTGAATTTAAAATATAGTATTTACAATATTTAGTATTTATATACTTCATTTACTTTCCAATCCGTGCAATTAATCAATGTAATATCTTTTAGATTTGTTTAATATATAAAATTTTAATATATAAAATATATTGTATAATATATAAAATGTTTCGTATAGGTAATATAGAGAGAGAATAATACATATATTCATAGAACGTTCTTAAATGACCCAATACGATACCGTGTACAGTTGAATTGTATACAGCGTGAAATCCTTGTTATTGAAAACAATTTCGAGGGCACTTGGCTTTTCCAAGAAATCTGTTGTGTCTCGTCTCCAGTTTATGCGAGACGAGGCGTCATTCTTGTGTCGAAAATCGCAACGTTAGGACGTGTTGAGGTGTTTCGTCGCCATTAACTGCGTAACGCTTTCGTTTCTACTCTGTGAGTTTTCGTACATTGCTGTTTCATTTAATCAGCGTACATTTATTTAAACGTTTAAACTGAGTTTCTCGAAGTCATTTCCTTTCTCCCTAATCACGACCATGATCGTATTTAATCGTCGGAGAGATTAGATTCGATCAATCTTATCGTCGCGTATAGTACGCTCTATTTCCTCTTCGATTGTTATACAACTTTGACGAGAAATTTGGCACATTGAATAATTGTTATTTTTCTGCCGAAAATGAGAATATTAAAGTAGTTTAAATTATAATAATAAAATAGCAAAGTGAACGGAATGAATAATTATTAGATCTCAGACACTTGCGAGAGATGTGCAATTTTCGTTGCTGTAAAAAGATTTTAATTGTTTCTAAAACTTTTCAAGCAATTACGCAGCAATACTCCCAAGAATAAATTACAATAGTCCACGTTTTGTTGTTGCAGATTTTTCGCAGCCGGCATTTCCATCACGGCCTATCCTTGATGACGGCCTTCACGATGACTTCCTCTGGGCTATTGCGGCGTTGATGACAATGTTCTTCGCATCTAATCGTGAGTTGTATGCATTTTTTCTTTCTCCAGTCGCTCGATCATGTCGCAGGATGAAAAGTCCGAACCGACACGGGTGACTGGTTGTACATGCATGTACATATTATACATACGTAGAATTTTTAACGAGAATAACGACCACAGGTATTTATTATACTTATAACTGTTGTACACAAAAAATAAGTTGAGGGGAAAAAATAACACGTTCTATTGTATTCTTTGTTGCGTAAAGTATTAATTAATTTTTCCAGTTTTGAAACAAATATAGTATGCATTCCAAGTAAAGAGGGGGATTGAACGTGTATGATAGAATCAGCTTTTGCGAGTTATCTATTTCACTATTAAAAATTGTATTCTGGAAATCAATAAAGTATATTCTAGAAACAATTTCTTTGAAAAGAGCGATCAAAGAAAAGAAAGACTACGGAAGACTATTACATTAATGGCATCTCATCTTCTGAGTCACTCAGAACACGGGAAGTCATTCTCGTTCCTACTTTGTCATTATTCTCGTCTTTGGTATTTATAGTAATAGTAGTAGCAGTAGTAATTTATATTTTAACCGATAATTTGTCTTTTGGTTCATCGTCATACCAGACAAATTTCGGTTATTTACAGTTAATTGAGATTTTGAAATAGAATTCCGAAATGTTGCTTACTTCGATTTCAGTTAGTATTACGATGAAACAACGATCAAGTGTCCTTTGATATTACGAATTATAAAATGTCAGAATTTCACAGTCAATATTTCTTATTATGATTTGTTGGAAATTTTTGAAATATTCTTCTCTTTAAAAGTTCTTTTCAAAATTCGAAAGAAGTGTAACATTTTAATCAATCATTTAGTGTCGAAGATTTATCAAAAAACTGCCAGATTTTATTCTCCCGTGAGACACAATTTCATATTTATCCCACGAAAAATAATTTTCACGATATGCGACAAGCATTTTCTTTCGACGTCAACGAAATAATCAT